TAACAGGGACACAATCTGTCATTCTTTATTATTTGTCATTTAGAGTGTTGTTTCCCTTGGACCAATGTTTTTCTATGGGTCAGTGGTTATAATTTCCCGCCAGTTTTGATCATGTGACTATTGTGTTCAGTTGAGCTCACGTTTTTGATGAAGAGACATGTACATTGTCCGCATGTTTTTTTTTTTAAATTTTTGTGATTTATGGAATATCATTATTTTTTATAAGGTATGTAAAGTTTAAACTGATTTGGATGATTTCCAGAGCATTAAGTATTGTTTATCATAATGTTGTTTTTAATTGAATTATGATAGTGAATTTAATAAGTAATGTAAACGGTTTCTGTGTCTTATTTTTGGACTCTAAGGACTGGTTTAATATTGCAGTATCATATCTTTCTTTTCTCAATTAATTAATAAATAAATAATCTCACATTCTATTCAAACTCTATGCACATTATTCACTATAATTTGCAGGATAATAACAGCACACTGGAGAGAGAGAAGAGTGTATATTGTATATTTGTTGATGTAAACACTTAGTTCCATAAACTGGTAAGTATGATATATTGTTGTAAATGTATAAGTGTTTTATGATATTGTATGATAAAATGTTTGATGTTAATTAAAAGCCACTGGAATGATTATGATTGATTGATTTATGCAATTCAAGAATGTGTTGTCTAAGATACATGCTGTGCCAACGAAAATAAAAGAGATACAGAACCTACAAATCCTTGACTTTTATTCACCCTTTCAAACTGATAAATTTCAAAGGAGTTACATTTTAATTTAATGAAATTTCTGTAAATGAAGACGCAATGACATTACATTATAGTGTTGATTAAATTAATTTTCAATTCAGTAACAAAAGTCAAAATGATGAATAAAACGCTGCTGTATCACTATTGTAATATAAAACATCATGTGGTCGAAACTGAAATAGGGATATTTTGTTTCTTAATAGGGAATTTTGCTTAGTTTCCAGTCAATAATCATATTGAGAAGTAAAATTTAACATGTTGTAAAAGCACTTTTACTTATTCTAACATCATATCATAAGGAACACGGACACTAAAGGGCGTCGATAGCAGTCAGCTCTTTATTTCGTTTACTTTTTTATGGTAAGTATAGGACATTTTCAATTTTTCAAATACATTGTACTAGTAATTTCAATCATTACAGTATATTTTGAATTAGGGAATTATCTTTTGTATACAAAATAATTTGTTTAAAATAATTTACGTTTGACGGGTTTCTTCTCATTTGGCACTTTTTATAGTTCCATTTATCAAACGTCATTTTTCTCTGACTAATGATAATTTAATCGACAACAAGCAAAAACAAGGTAGAGTATCTAATTTGCTTATAAATATCATTATTACATCTTTCCACATCTTGTTTATTTTCTTGAGATTGGAAAACTAGATCTTCCACATACTAAGCGAACATCTGTTCCGTTGAACACAAACATCCAAATTGAATCAAAAGAAGGTTAGAAGCAAACTAAATGATTCTAAATTTAGAAATTTCACTAGGGTTTATAATCAGTTCCTTAAATGTTAAACGGTTATGTGGAATATTTGTGCCGCTATCTTTCTTATTCGTTTTGTTGCTTGCATTTCAGAATTAACTTTATGCTAAGGGCACAATAATCTGTGGTAGATAAAAAGAGAGTTGTTGTTCTTATTCTATTATTTGGTTTGAATTATTGAAACCCTCTCTTATCCATAGGCATATTTCTATTGACATTGATGTCTCGAGTATGCTTAAGTTGAAATATTAAAACAAACTTTAGACTCGATACAGTGAGTCTCGACTTTTCTTGTTGACATTGTTCATATAAATACACCTTCTAAAAAGAATTGGTTTGTAACCTTTTTTATTTACATTGATAAAAGACAACATAAAAATGTACTGTTTTTAACAGATATGTTTCATTTGCAACATTTCACATAGAATTCAATTTTAAACATGAAAAATTATTGATTGGTTTATGGCTTTTTATTTCTATATTCTATATAAGTGTTATATTTCTGAATATAAGATACTAGCCTTAAACTCGATCTTAAATTAAAAAAAGTTTGTTAACTGTTGTTAACTGTACATTTTGCCTCAGAAATCCCTCTATATTGAGTTCTTTAGAAATGTTAAACATGTGTTTAATTATGTTTTAATAATTGATTAAAAGCGTGTTAGATGCTTAATAGCTAAAGAGAGTAGCGCAGAATGTGCGGTATCATGTCATAAAAGTTGCAAATGTAAGCAAAGTAGTATTTTGAATTCCATACAAAATATTCATTCACTTTGATTAAACCAACTGTCAACGGAGCGAAAGAAGCAAAGATAGTAAATCGATTTGGCAAATGAGTACGGTTTTTTTTATTTTTGAAACTGCAACAAGATACCAAAAAATAGAACGTTTTTGGAGAAATAAGAATGATAGAATTTCTAAGAAGTACGGGCCATTAAACAAAAAAGTATGGACGAATTATAAATTCAATTTTAATTTTTAAATTTATAGGACACTTACTTTATAGTCTTACTTTGATTATAAATTAACTTTATTTGATTTTGATTTCATGAAAACTAATTTTTGATAAATGAGTCATTTAAGGTTAGCGATTGTCATTTATGTCAATACATTTTTATTCCAAGTCTTAAAGTTTTGAAAGGTTTTACAGACACACGTGTAACAACGATACAATTAAGTCTTAGATACACATTTTATTACCCGTTATGATATATGTTTATATCTTGATAATACAAAACAAAACAACAAAAAACGTTGTTACTTTGTTATATTCAATTCATTTTTCATAAACTATTATATTTATTACACCCAAAACAGATTATGTCTGTTCATGAAGTAAAGAACCTGCAGAATAAAGTGATTTTTGATAATGATGACTTTTTATTTAGTTCCGCCCATTGTTTTTTTCGTTTAGGGCACACGCATTCTTTTATTTGGGGACCATACGCCGCTTTTCATGGAATGGCGTTTTTGTGTCGCATTGAAAGTTCCATGATAACCCCGTATGAACACATCTACGGATGTTTCTAAATTCAAAATTTTACCATTTCAGTGTGTAAATGTTGAACTATGCTTAAGTCGGTGCCAGGGAGCGTGGACTCTTGCACTTTCCAGTACCGTTCATGAACAGGCTCAATCAAACCGAGCCTGCAATATTTTAAATTTTGCGGTGTTGGGCTTTCGGTAGGGATTCTGGTTTTCATCATTTTATAGCAAATGATATATTTTCATCAGCAATAATTAGGCATATAATAAAATAAAATAAGAATAATCTTCTCTCAGTCGCTGCGACTAGCTATATAGTGTTTTATTTTGATAATTCTTAAAACGTGATTAAGGGCACTTTATCAATGCTATTCTGATGATTTATTCTTGAAATATTTACCCAGTTGCCCTCTTATATTTTCATACTATATTTATCTTTGAATAACAAAATATATATTTGCTGTATAATTCTACCATGAAAGTAGTCTTTAGGTTTTACACAACAAAGCTTTATGATTTATGTATTAAATATTTTGAAATGTGTGTTCGTTCCTTCTTGTTGATCTTGTTTTACTTGTGACATTTTTTACACTTTTTTAGCGGCACTTAATTCGTTTTTACGAAATATTAATTCGTTTTTACGAAATAATTATTCGTTTTTACGAAAAAAATATTCGTAAGTACGAAATAAATATTTCGTAATTACGATATATTAATTCATTCTACGAAATATTTATTCGTTTTTACGAAATATGAATTCGTAATTACGAACTATTAATTAGTTTTTACGAAATAGTAACTCGTTTTTTCGAAATATCTATTCGTAATTACGAAATATTAATTCGTTTTTACGAAATAAAAAATTGTTTTTACGAAATATTAATTCGTTTTTATGAAATATTTATTCGTTTTTACGAAATAATAATTCGTTTTTACGAAATCTTATTAAAGGTTATTGTGAGCTTGACAAAGAACCTACTAACCACACAATCAAAAGGGTCATTTACAAGCCTGGGTCAATCTTGCCACCAAATATAACGATTATAAGCCGAGCAGTTCTAAGTTATTATATTATAGTGAACAGGGTTTTTTAATGAAAAGTCATTCTCGATCATTTCCCTATTTTCAAATACATATTCCCAACAGCTGGCAAAAATCAAAATGTTTTAATATTTGAGACAATTAATCTTTTCTGAAATGATTTTTTAAAAATGAAACATGCCAATTTATTACTTTCTTTTATTATACATATTAGTAAAGCCTAAATGGGCTGGCCTCCAGCTTTTTACTAAAAGTATATTTCCTTAAAATTTATGGATTCATAAAAACACAAAAACTCTCCAAATTTAACACAATTTCCCTTGTGCGTGTGCTATCACGATTATCGCAGCAACTCAATCAAGAGGCGATTATTTAAATTGATATACAGTACTGCTATACGCCACGTTAAGGTATAAGACAATCACTATTTATACATATTCTTCGTTTACATGTATAATATTTAGTCAGGAACTTAATGTCAAAGCCTTCTTTATACATATTACCAAAACCCTTTAAAACCGTCTAAAAAATTAATTCGTTTTTACGAAATATAATTTCGTTTTTAAGAATCGATTTTCCTAAAACGAATCAATATTTCGTAATTACGAAATAAAATTTCGTAAAAACGAATTAATATTTCGTAAAAATGAATTAATATTCCGTGATAACAAATTAATATTTCGTAATTACGAATTAATATTAAACAAAATTTATAAATAATCATATGAATTGACAATATCATGATTATATTATGTTACATTTAATAACATGAATGGCGATGTAAAAATGGATATTGTGAAACTGTCAAGTGGACAATAACCACTATCATCCCGGCAAAATACGCTTTCATATTTTGAAAAATTATAGCAATTAATTTATATACCTCGTTTCATTTAAAATCCAATATTTCAACATTTTGAAAACAACAGAAACAACAACAGTAGAAAGTTAGGTTAAAGACAAATGTTTATTACAATAAGTAGTTTGTGTCTTAATTGTTGGTGTCATGTTTTACAAAAAAAATACAAATTCGATGACAACAAATACAATATCTTTTAAATTGTAATCTAAGAAAGTAGCTACGTACTTTGATATTGTCAGTATGATAAAGTTAAACTATCTATTTAAGAAAAAGCTTTAATAATTTTAAAATTTTGACCAAATACGATAATTATTTTTATGATTTTAAATGAGGAAGACCATTTAAACATAATCACATGGCGCTAGTCAGGAATATTATCTTTTATCTGTTTCGCATAATGACTGCTGAAATAGTTCTAAACCAATACAAAAACCAAATTAACATCAGTTAACAGCCATTTCAAATCAGATATGTTGTTACGTGAATTAAACGCTTACCTTATAAAATCTAAGATAATATTCAAAACCGACAATTGCCAATTCCAGTAGTCAAAAGCTTACTAGCTTAAAACTGGTATCCCAATTACAATAAAAACTACTGGAATATACTCAAATGATAGATGCGCCTCTCTCATTTAAAACTAAACATTTGTCTATTTTCTTTAAATAAAACAAACAAAAGAAAAAACCCAGAAAATCTGATTAAATCCAATAAAAGAAAACACTAAAAAGGGGGCGAAGAAAAAATAATCTTATACAAATTTTGCACATTGTAATCCTAATTGAATGTTAATATCTATATACAAATATGTTAATTGTCATTCGTCTGGTGACTGATTTTAAGAGGGCAATATGTCTTGTGTTTGTACAAATTCAGTCACTCCAAAAAAAAAAGACCGTAAAAATAAAGGTATGCAGAGAAAGCACTCTGATTATACGATTTCTCCTTAACATACATACAAATCTTTAAAAAAACAACTGAAAAAGCTCGAAAGTCTTGTGCAGCAAGACAGTAAAATCTGTTTTAAGAATATATTCTTGTTTTATTTAGATTGAAGGCTAGAATCGGCGTTATATCATGATTTTGTTTCTAAATAATGTCCAAATTAGTCATCCCAATAACTTTCAGTGAAAATAACTAAACATAATAACACTGGCATGCAATAACTTAAAAGTGTCAATACAATGTAGAAATAAAGCGACAAGTATAAAAAATAACGAAAACCAAACTGGGAAGTAGCTTAGTGATACACAAACTGCCTATACTTATGTAATCAGCAGTGCGAGAAAACAACAAAACATCGAAGCAAATCCTATTGTTGTATGTGCAGCTGGAATGAGAGAAGAAAAAATATTACAACAGTGTATATATTATTTACTGTCAGAAATGCCAATTACAAGTATAATAAGTAAATAATTAAACTTTCCTTTCGGTTAAGATATTCTACCTATTAAACTAAAAATGAACCTTCAATAATTTAAATAAATTTTGAAATAATGCCGCTGAAGAAAGTGGCACAGTATATCACAACCAAATTTAAAAAAAAAACTTTCTTCAATGTATTTATAGTTACCAGTGTTTCCGACACAGGTGTTTGCATTCATTGTGAATCCCAGGCTACACCTGCATTTTTCGTTTTCGTCATCGCATTCAGCGTTGGTAATATCTTCACATTGATTTAATTTATCCGTACATGTTAATTCGTTCACAGCTAGAGATGAAAATAAAAATGTTTCATTGCCTCTTGTTCAATTATATATCAGTTTTTATAATTATGCTAAATGATGTTTTGTTTTGTTATTGTTTTTGTTGTATTAGGTAGTAGCTACAGAGAGCTATAACTTTGTTCTGCACGAGGTTTGTCTCCAAACATCGCATAATAAGAAATATTTAAAACTTAGAATATCCAAAATCAATATTTTACCACTTAACAAGCAAAGTTTATTAGTATAGTTTTCAAATAACATACATTTGAAACCATGCTTTTCAGGTTTAGCGGCGCAAACAACGACATAAGTCTAAGTAAGAATGATTCGTATATTTAATTTATTTTTTTTAGACACATCTACCGAAACAAAAAAGGAAAAATACTAATACAATAATGTATGTTCATTACGTGTCTTGTTTATGCAAAGTCAATATGTACTTTAGTCAACTTTTAAGAATTAAGGTACTAAAATCAGTAATACTAAGTAACATAATGGTACAATAATATAACATAAAATCAACCGTCCAACATACCGCCCAAACGACCTATTTATGAGCTTAAACATGCATGTTGTGTGGGTTTCTTTTGGTTTTTTTCTATTGGTAAAAGCATTTCACTATCACTTGGGCCGGCAACTTTTTTTTATTTTAAGCATAAATGGTAATTTCATGGGTAAGGCATTTTATCATACTAATGTTTCAATTGATTAATCCACAATATCCGACACTAGCCGTATAACTATTTTAGACATCTATATATGACTCCCCTGAAGAATAAACGTGTCTTGCAATTCAATGTAAGTATTAAAAGGATGATTTTATATATCTGAAATATACCATAAAGATTCCAAAACATGTACATTGTTTCAAATTTTGTTGTTGTTTTTCAGTCTTAGACCTATGGTTATGTCTAAAATGAGTTCACAAAATGCATTTTTTAAAAGCTTATGTTCAATTTATATAATTATGTCATATTAAAATACATTTATTTAAATTCATCGCCTAACGATAACAACATGCTGGCGACACACTTTGAATTTAAAACTTACTACAAACAAGCACTCTACCAACTTCAGACATTTCAATGCAGTTTCATTATGTTTAAACAATATATCATTTTTTTGAAATCTTCATTTGTCAAAAAGTTTAACCCTTTAAAACTGCGTCTTGCACAAATGAAATATTATGTCAAAATAAAGCAAACATTGGGTAAAATCATTATCTGTTATAATCAAATAATGCGATTTTCATGCTTCAATTATTATATTGAATAGAAGATTTTCATTGTTCGTTGTATCGTACCTTTAGCAATACAAGTGTCGTCGGATCCCTGATACTTATATGCGTCTGTGCACTCACATTTTCCCTCTGTATTGCATTGTGAATTATCAACATTACAGTTCTCATTGTTTGAGCATGAACCACCAATTACTAGAAATAAAAAATAGATTTCTTTTTATCAATTAAACAAGTTATAGTTTATAATTCAAGTTTCAAATCCAAGTAGAAAAAAAATATGAGGAATAAACATGTGAGAAGAGATACGATTTGACAATGGCTTAATAAAAAGTTTAGTTGGAATTGTTATGAAAAAAAAGAAAAGAAAATATCAAAATATATGATTTGCAAAAAACAACCTTAAGATGAGGCTTTACTCATAAACAAATTTTAATAACGCAAGATCCATCAGGAGAAATATTAGTATATTTGACAACAGAACAATAAATCATAATGTTTTTTTTTTCTAAACATGGAAGATGATTCAAGATCGACTAAACAAAACCTTATTAGTTGCGGTGTGTTAAATATATATAAATGTGATACGAAAATATGTTACCGTACATGAACAGGTATTATTTAAAAAAGCTAGTTACAATTTCATTTTTATCGTTTTTACCCTCATATTATAAAATAATCCTGTTAACAGCAACTATGTTCAAATGAAATAATAGTTTTACCAATATTATTGTGCCAAATTAACTACAAGGGGATAACAATTTGAAGGTTTTTAAACTTTCTCGAAGCTGATGAAACTGTGATTGTGATGTCACTGTTAACATATTGTCCCAATAATTAAAGTGAGCGTTGTTTCCTAACAAAGTTATGAATACAAAATGGCGACACAATTCATGTAATGAGGTACAGTTTTATTTTACATGCATTAAAGAGACAGTCATCTTCATATGACCACACAAGTTAAACATATACGTTTTTATTGTACGAAAATGTCCCCCCCCCAAAAAAAAAAAAAAGAAGAAGAAACACGGTACTAGCCTTTGGGTTCACATGTTCCATCAGTTTCATGAGGTTTATGAGTATCTTTACAGATACATTTCTTTGGAGATTCAATCCCACAAATAGCATCAGTTACGGCAGAACAATCGGTATTAGCCGTGCAGTCGTCGTTCAGACCTTAAAATAGCATCAGATGGTAAGTGCATACTTGAAGAGAAATTATTGTATCATTTAGCGTAAATTTAACAGCACTTCGGTTATCAAACTCTGTATATGGATAAGTCCAGTCATTTCAACTCTTTATTCAATATTTTGTAAAATGTAAGTCGAAGTGTATACCTTTCTTTACCCTTCACTTTAAAATTACTTGTTGGTATTGAACAAAATCTTAATTGTCTGTTATTAATAACCAAAAAGAACAAAATCTTTATGAGTTGTATCGGTTTTATATAGTGCTTGCTAAGGAGTGAAATATCAAACTTTCATTGTAAATTCCATGGAAACATTGTATGAATAAGTCTAAGACATTACAAATAGGGTACTTAGTGTATGATAGATCACAACGCGTTTTATTGTAAGTAAACAAATGAACTACACATTATAGTTGTAACAACTTAAAACGTTAAGTGCAACGGCATTTACTACTATTAAGAACTCATGCGCACAACGATCTAAACGAATTCACACCCAGTAGAAATTTAACCAGTGTTCTTGACGGAGTTTGTGACGTTACGATATTAATGATTTTAGCATATGATAATATAGTCTGATAGGCACTATTTTAAACAAATGATATGATTTTAAACGAATTGATATTTTAATTTGACTAGCCTTGTTAATAACATCAAGATAACAATTGTTCATGAAGTTTTCTATAACGTGGCAAAAGTATTACATGTAACTATATAAATTTATATATATTAAATGATATTGTTAATTTGTCTAAAACTGTAAAACTGGTCATTTTTTAGGTTTATTTTTCTTCACAAAAAGTATGAATTATTGTTGTTTAAAAAGTGCTTAGATAGAGCAAAGGGCTGTTTTAATCTCAATATACCCTATTGTTTAACATTTAAGATTATCAGACTTCAGACACTTCAATACATTTTATTTATGCTTAAAACATGAATTATTTTTTTAAAGCTTAATTTGTCAAAAATGTGTACCCTTTACACTCTGCTTTATGCGCTTTTTAAATGTTATGTCAAAACAAACAGTTATTGGGTAAAATTATTAATAATTATTATTAACAAAGAATACGAACTTCAGGCTTCAATTATATTGAGATGTTTGGTTATTCGTTGTATCTTACCTTTAGCAATACAAGTGTCGTCAGTTTCCTGATACTTATATGCGTCTGTGCACTCACATTTATTATCTGTACATTGTGAATTATCAACAATGCAGTCCCCGTTAATTGAGCATTGTCCACCAATTACTAAAAATAACAAATAGATTCCTAAATACATATTAATCAAATAAGCTTGATGAATTTTTTTTTAATTATTTCAGATTCAAAATTAAGAAGAAATGTCAAAAAATGACAAAAAAACTGATATAAGATGTTGTTCAAATTTGATTAATAAAAATTTATAAAAACATTTGAATTTACCTGAAGAAACATAGCTTGATAAGACAAACATAACCTAGAAGCTAGATATCAGTTAAAAAAATTCATTAACGTCAATCAGGAGAAATATTGATTTCTTTGATTATATCACATAGTGTTGTCATTATATTTATTCTAACCATTGAAGATTATTTAAAGATCCTGTAACACAATTTTTTCATGGTTTTATTCCATAAATATGATGCTCAAATTAAGATTTGTCAATATTGTAAGTTCAAATAAGCATTATTTATAAAGATATTACCAAATTTAACATCTCATGTAAATAAAGGGAGGTAATTAGAACTTTATTTTCTATAAATTTTAAGTCAAATTTTCCAATAAGAAATGAATGCATGTAATTTATTGATTAAATATAATGTGCACATATATTTGCAGTACACATTTTACATATTCTTTGATGTTTGAAAATTGCATTTATTTTATTTGCATTATTATAAAAATATATAATTTTTTGCAAGTGTAGTATACACACAGTAATAATATCAATCACAAAACATACAGGATCTTTAATGTCGAATAAACAAACACATATTAACTTGTGGCAAGTAAAATAGATAGTTCCAGAGCGGAAGGCTGCAACAATTTTATTTTTGTCATTTAAAGCGTTCTTTTGTGATCATGTTTTACTCTCTTTTATAAAATATAAGTAATGAAATATCAAGATAAATGTGTATGTCATATGGTAAGTAATTATATCCTGAATACAAGTAAAGCTTCTTCGGGAATTATTATAATTATTTTAACCATCACTTTCTTATAACATCATTGAAATCTATAGATTGTGACTTCACTTACCAACTTGTAGTAGCGTTCGCTTACAGACATAATCAACTAAATTAGAAACACGTTTTTATCTTTTAATTCATAATTGATCATATTATAACGAATGAAAACATTAAACGTGACAAACTCATTGCAAACAGTACAAATCATGCAGATACCAAGCGCCATGACCACACCTGCTTGACTGGACAAAGATGATAAAAAGATGTTTGTTTACTTTAATCCAAGATGTCAGTTGTATGAAATTTGAAAAAAAAACAACAAAAAAAAAATAACAAAAAAAAACAAAAACCTCACAAAGAATAGATAAACTTGGTACCGTCCAATTACTAACAATGTTTTGAAGACTGTACATTGTCAAAGAAAACAGTAAAACTTTGTGAACGGTTACATACTTCCGATTTGTATAGGAATTTCATTATGTAATAGCGAAAATGGAATCAACAAAGAAAGGTCGACAAGGCAAAATTGTAAAATGTTGCAGGCTCGGTTTGTTTGAGTCTGTTCATGGACGGTATTGGAAAGTGAAAGTTACCGTCCGCGCCCTCTAGCACCGGCTTAAGCAGAATTCAACATTTAAACACAAAAATGGTAAAATTGTGAATTTAGAAACATCTTCAGATGTGTTCATACGGCGATTATCATGGAATTTTCAATATGACACAGTGGTGTCATTCCATGAAAAGCGGCGTATGGTCCCCAGATAAAAGAATGTGTGTGCCCTAAACGAGAAAACAATGGGCAGAACTAAATAAAATGGAATTTTGAAAGGGGATCTGAGGTTATGAACCCCTCTGTAAATTTTATGGCAAAATGTATAAAACAATTAGATACGTTAATGAATACATAGTTTAAGTTCTTTTGAAAAATCTAGAAACTAACATTGTTAAACAAAGCGGAATGTGATTTAACTTTATCACATTAATAAATCAAACTGGTAATTGTAAAGGAGACGTTAACAATATGAATAGGATGATAATATTTCAAAATATTTGAAATGACATAAAACGAATTGATATTTTTTAAATACTTAATAATATTTATGTCAAATATTGCCGATTGAGCTTGGATTAAGGCATGGCTTTGATGCTTTTTAGTATTTTTTTAAATCAATTTGCAAACATATTGTCCTAGTAACAGATTTTTGCGTTTTCGTATTAATGCTTTCGGTTGTTTGAAAACGATGTATGAAACTGTTCACCAATATATTATTTTTTTCTTGTCATCAGTTGTTGTTTCCTAAGAGTCTTATCAATACAATATGGAGAGACATTTTTTGTAATGTAGATACAGCTTGTTTCTTTTTCATTTTATCTCTGAGATAGATAAAAAAACTTGTTATGGAATTTTCTTCCAGCTCTGCAAAATGTATACATGTAGATTGTTATAGTACCAGAATGTTTTAGACCAAAAGCAAAATCTTTGATGTAGGATTCTAATACATTGTGTCACACACAAAAAAGAAGTAACAAAGTACTAGCCTTTAGTTACACATGTTCCATCGGTTTCATGTGGTATATGAGTATTTTTGCAGATACATTTCCTCGGAGAATCTGTACCACAAATAGCTTCAGCAACGTTTGCGCAATCCGTATCCCCCGAACAGTCGTCGTCAAGGCCTAGAATAAGAATTAAAATATGCTTTATTGTTTACAAATATAATTATCAAATACACTGGTCTGTAGACGGTAATTGAACACTTGAGGAGAAATTCTTGCATTATATAGCAAAAATTAAACAACACTTTGGTTATCAAACTCTGTAATTTAGTAAGTCCAGTCATTTGAATTTTTTATTTCATATTTTATAAAATGTGAGTCAAACTTCACTTTTTTCCTTAAAAAATGCTTGTTGGTATTGACAAAACAGATCTGAACTGTATATTAACCAGAAAGAACTTAATCCTTATGAGGTATATCTGTTTTATTTAGGACTTTCTAAGGAGTGCAAAATCAAAGGTTCTACGTAAATTCCACGGAAACGTTGTTTAAATTAGTCTACGACATAAAAAATAGGGTTCTTAGTATATCAAATCGCAACGCTTTTATATTTTAAATTAGTAAACAAACTCAAATATACATTACGGTTAAACAGCTTAAAATGTTAAGCACAACGACATTCCCTTTGATTAAGAACTCATGCGCTTAACGAGCTCCACAAATTTAACCTGTAATCTTGACGGATATTGTAACGATAAAATATTTACGGTTTTTACATTTGATATAGAATCTGATATGCTATATGACAAACATATGATATCATTAAAAACGATTTGATAATTCAAAACGACTAGCCTTATTTATAACATCAAGATAAGAATTTGTTCGTGTACTTTTCTTTATATTTTCAAAAGTATAACATGTACTTAATGTATATATATATAAATGATATTGTTAATTTAATAAGTGTAAAACTGCTCTTTAATTTTGTTCTTTTTTCTCCATAAAATGTATGAATTATTGTTGCTTAAAAAGTACTTAGATAGAAGAAAACATTGTATGATATCAGATTCTTATAAAGCATAAAGTATGTAACAAATGAAGTTAAAAGGAACTAGCCTTTAGGTTCACATGTTCCGTCTGTTTCACGTGGTTTATGAGAAGCTTTACAAATGCATTTCCTTGGAGAATCTGTACCACATATAGAATCTGTGACGGCAGAACAATCAGTATTAGCAGAGCATTCGTCGTTCAGACCTGAAAAGAATATCAAGAGTATCAAGATGTATAAATACATTTACACCCGGAAAAAATAGTAAATATAATGCGAAACATAATAGTAAATTCATGTCAACACTGTAAAGTAATAAGCATTCAATACGTCCTATTTACTTCATAAAAACAATACAATCATACATTTTTCAACTTGTATGTGTAAATCATTTCAAACAGTATTATAGAATTGCTATTTTTCATGAAAATCACTGTTACATTTTCTCAAACTAATCGAGGCAAGAAATTGTTTATATAATGACTAAATGCGACAACATGATATCAGAAATTATAAACTACATTAAACTATTAAAATAAAAGAACTAAATACAATAATCAATATATTTCATGCCTTTTTGAGTTAATAAAATACCACTTAATTTTCAAAATTGTGAGTAAACTATGGATATTCAGAAAAGCTTCTAGCTTCTATTCATAAACTCCATATTATGTATTATTACCGCTCAATTGTTGTGTCAATGTAAATTTTCGTAAAACATAAGGAAATTATTCTTACTGCTTATTCAAGCGTAGCACTTGACCAAAAATGTGTATTCTAAACTTTCATAGGTAACAGTACTTTTAACATTTAAAAATGATCAGGCTGTTTATTTTCAAGAAAATAAAATAGCAGCTCATAATTAAACACTATTCAGGAGTAAAATATCGTTGTTGTGCATTGTTAAAAAGAAGAGGTGAAGCTGATAAAGAATATTCCGACTAAACTAATCAAGACAAGAAATTATTTATGAGGATTCTAAACTATATAATTATATAAAACAATCAGATTTATTAAAGGTTATAGCTTAAGTTGTATTGAAAAATCTAGAAACTTACATTGTGACGCATAGCAGCATGCGATTCTACCTTCGCTTAATTTTATAACATTTATAAATCAATCGCATAATCGTAACGTAGACGTTAACAATAGGAATAAGATGATGTTTAATATTGATATTTTAAATACTTTATACTGTTTATGTCAAATATTGCCAATTGAGCTTGGATTAAGGCATGGCTTTGATGCTATTGTTTAGTATTTTTTCTATCAATTTGCAACCATATTGTCCTAGGAGCAAAATTGTGCGTGTTTGTATTAATGCTGTTGGTTGGTTGCAAGAGAGTTATGAACTGTTCACCAATATATATTTTTTTCCTTGTAATAATTTGTATTTTCCTAAGACTTTTAGCATTATAACGTGGATTGCCCCTCACCGCTGTGGATTCGAATCCCGACAGGGACTTTGGATTCTTTCATGTGAGAAAGCTATCCATCTAGCTTACGGAACGTCGTTGGTTCTACTCAAGTGCCCGTTCGGGCCTGAAATTATGCACGGAAGGGCACCTGACGTCTTCCTCCACTAGTAAAGCTTGAACGTCGCCAAATGGCCTACATTGTGTCGGTGTGACGTAAAACCCAATCAATCAAACAAACAAACAAATAAATAATGTGGAGTGACAATTTATGTTAGGTAGGTGCATTTTGTTTTCCTTTTATTAATTTCTGAGATAGATAATTAACTTGTTATGAATATTCAGTCAGGCATCGCGAATGGTACACATGAATATTGTTCTTGTACCAGAATGTTTCAGATCGAGAGCAAAATGTTGTATCCATGTTTTCTTACACATTGTGTCACCAAAATGAAGTCACACTGCACTAGCCTTTAGTTACACAAAATCAAGCGGTTTCGTATGGTTTGTGAGTATCTTTGCAGATACATTTCCTGGCAGATTCCGTACCACAAATAGCATCAGATGGTAAGTGCATACTTGAAGAGAAATTATTGCATCATGTAGCGTAAATTTAACAGCACTTTGGTTATCATCCTCTGTATATGGATAAGTCCAGTCATTTCAACTCTTTATTTAATATTTTGTAAAATGTAAGTCAAACTGTTTACCTTTCTTTACCATTCACTTTAGAATTACTTGTTGGCATTGAACAAAATCTGTAATTGTATGTTAACCAAACCAAACAAAATCTTTATGAGTTGTATCGGTTTTATATAGTGCTTGCTAAGGAGTGAAATGTCAAACTTTCTTTGTAAATTCCACGGAGAGATTGTATGAATTAGTATAAGACATTACAAATAGGGTACTTAGTGTATGATAGATCACAACGCGTTTTATTGTAAGTGAACAAATGAACTGCACATAATAGTTGTAACAACTTAAAACGTTAAGCGCAACGGCATTTAACTCATGCGCACAACGATCAGAACGAATTCACATCCAGTAGAAATTTAACCTGTGTTTTTGGCGGAGTTTGTAACGTTACGATATCAATGATTTTAGCATATGATAATATAATCTGTTACGATATTATTGTTTTTAGCATATGATAATATAATCTGATAGGCACTATTCTAAACATATGATATGATTTTAAACGAATTGATCTTTTAATTTGACTAGCCTTGTTTACAACATCACGTTAAGAATTGTTTATGAAGTGTGCTATAACTTGACAAAAGTATTACAATCATGTAACTATCTAAATTTATATATAAATGATATTGTAAATTTGTCTAAAACTGTAAAACTGGTCATTTATTTAGGTTATTTTTCTCCACAAAAAGTATGAATTATTGTTGTTTAAAAAGTGCTTAGATAGAGGAAAGGACTGTGTTAATCTCAATATATCCTATTGTTTAACATTTAAGATTATCAGACTTCAGACACTTCAATACATTTTATTTATGCTTAAAGCATAATTTATTTTTTTAAAGCTTCATTTGTCAAAAATGTGTACCCTTTACACACTGCTTTATGCACATTTTAAATGTTATGTCAAAACAAGCAATTACTGGCTAAAATTATCTATACTTATTATTAACAAAGAATACGAACTTCAGGCTTCAATTGTATTGACTATTAGATTTTTGGTTATTCGATGTATCTTACCTTTAGCAATACAAATGTCGTCAGTGTCCTGATACTTATATGCGTCTGTGCACTCACATTTATTCTCTGTACATTGTGAGTTATCAACATTACAGTCCACATCAGTTGAGCATTGTCCACCAATTACTAAAAATAACAAATAGATTCCTAAATACATTTTAATCAAACAAGCTTGATGAAAGAAATTTTAATTATAATTTCAAATTCAAAATTAAGAAGAAATGCCTTAGAAAAAAAACTGATATAAGATGTTGTTCAAATTTGATAAATAAAAATTAATAAAAACGTCACTTTGAATTGAACTGAACAAACATAGCTTGATAAGACAAACTCAACCTAGAAGCTGGATATCAGTTAAACAATTCATAAGCGCTAGATCTATCAGGAGAAATATTGATTTCTTTGTGTGAATTATTCTACGACATAAAAAATAGGGTACTTAGTATATGAAATCGCAACGCTTTTAATATTAATCAAACAAACTCAAATATATATTAAGGTTTAACAGCTTAAAATGTTAAGCACAACGACATTCCCTTTGATTAAGAACTCATGCGCTTAACGAGCTCCACAAATTTAACCTGTAATCTTGACGGATATTGTAACGATAAAATATTTACGGTTTTTACATTTGATATAGAATCTGATATGCTTTATGACATTGAAAACGATTTGATAATTCAAAACGACTAGTCTTGTTTAAAAAATCAAGATAAGTATTAATTTTGTACGTGTACTTTTCTATATATTTTCAAAAGTTTAACATGTACCTAATGTATATAAAAATGATATTGTTAATTTAATAAGTGTAAAACTGCTCTTTAATTTTGTTCTTTTTTCTCCATAAAAGGTATGAATTATTGTTGCTTAAAAATACTTAGATAGAGGAAAACGTTGTATGATATATCAGATTCTTATAAAGCATAAAGTATGTAACAAATGAAGTTAAAAAAAACTAGCCTTTAGGTATACATGTTCCGTCTGTTCCATGTGGTTTATGAGAAGCTTTACAAATGCATTTCCTTGGCAAATCTGTACCACATAAAGAATCTGTGACGGCAGAACATTCGGTATCAGCAGAGCATGCGTCGCTCAGACCTGAAAAGAATATCAAAAGTATAAAGATGTGTAAATACATTTACACCCGGAAAAAATAGTAAATATAATGCGAAACATAATAGTAAATTCGTGTCAACATTGTAAAGTAATAAGCATTCAATACGTCCTATTTACTTCATAAAACAATACAATCATACATTTTTCAACTTGTATCTGTAAATCATTTGAAACAGTATTATAGAATTGCTATTCTTCATGAAAATCACTGTTACATTTTCTCAAACTTATCGAGGCAAGAAATTGTTTATATAATGACTAAATGCGGCACCATGATAACAGAAATTAAAAACTACACTAAACTATTAAAATAAAAGAACTGAATACAATAATCAATTTATATCATGCCTTTTTGAGTTGATAAAATACCACTACATTTTCAAAATTGTGAGTAAACTAGGGATATTTAGAAAAGTTTCTAGCTTCTATTCATAAACTCAATAGACTTTATTATAACCGCTCAATTTTTGTGTCAATGTTTATATCCGTTACGCATAAGGGAATTATTCTTACTGTTGATTCAAACGTACCACTTGACCAAAAAAGTGTATTTAACTCTTTCAATGGTAACAGTACTTTTTAACATTAAAAATGATCACATGGTTTATCCCAAAGACAATGAAATAGTAAACACTATTCAGGAGTAAAATATCGTTATTGTGCATAGTTAAAAGGAAAGGTAAAGTTGATAAAGAATATTCTGATTAAAACTAGGGCAACACCCGTATAAACGGGATTGCGCTTTTTATTTCTAAATTAAAAAATTAAATTGTATGGCTGGTAGATACTCATAAGACCAAAATAAAAGTAACATTTAAAGGTAAGGGAATGCGTTAATTTCAAATTTCGTATTCAATGATTATTTTATATGACTAGAAGAAAGCTACGGCAGGACAGCCGTTACCATAACGTTTGCTTAATGCATAACAGTAAAGATATCATCCTTAAATTTATTTTTCAATGTTTCTCTCATCTGTTTTGCACAAACCTGTGCGTTATACTAATAGCTTTCATAATTTATAAGCTTTGAATGTTAAACATATTAAGCATATTCATAATTATGTTATTGTGAAAATCATAAAATATAGTAATGCATTAAAAAAACTTATTAACAAGAATTGTATATGAGAAGCAAGATAATAACCTTTATATGAGCTTATTTCTATGATTCAATTATTTTACAATCTCGTATGAAGATTAAATGTTATGATTTTTACCTTTTGTCTTTTTATATTGATATGTTTCACAAGTTGCATTCTAATATTTTAACAACAAATAACATAATTTTTCATAACTTTCAATTTCAATGACGGAAATATGGTTACATCAAAGAATTTAGCTATTTGTCTTAATGATTTAAAGTAAGTATTAAAACGTAAACAAAAGGATAACAATATAGAAAACGTTAAATGTATGCAACAAATATCTACCTTTATAATGAAACACAATCTGGTTTAAGAAGTGATAAGCAAATTTACACAAATTTAAACATTTTATCAGCTTAAATAGATTCACTGCTTACGTCTATTTTTAATAAAACGCATTAGAGTTTAGAGACCAAACCTTTTGCAACACAACCATCTCCAGCAACATTTGGCTTGTATCCCTCATCGCACTCACAATTAGTGTTATCGGCAGCACACGTCGAGTGTTCCGGACATGCTTGTGTAGTGGCATCACATTGTCCTTGTGATGCTTTAAAGTACAAACCCAATTATAATAAATAAATACAAAAAAAAAATAAAAATAAATATAAAAAAGAAGGCAAACAAATATATTGAAATATCAGAAAAGGTGTGATTAAAATAACATATGGTGATGTTATTACAGAAATATAAGTATAATTTTCATACTTATTATATTTACATTTTTGTAGTTGGTTTAAAAAGTAGTTCGCATCTAGAAACTTTTTATGAATTACCTGCGTTTGGAAGGTGAGATAATGCCGCAATGACAATCAAAAAATAGTATTTTCGTGTCTGAAATATTAAATTCAGATGCTTATAAATAATAATATGATATATATCACAGATACCAAGAAGATATGAGCAAATATATCAACAATAAGTTATATAATTCATTTTAACGACTTTTTAATCTGCATTTGCAATATATAAAAATTCAACTTAAAATTTTAAACAATACTGTTCTAAACATTATTTTCTGTTTGCGAAGACCTTTTTGTGTGTCAGAAAATATCTGTTAAATCAATTATAGTATTATTTATCTTTTAACAATGATATTAAAGCAGCACACCTCCAGATTCATATTATTTTTTCATGAAAATTTTGAAAATGTATTTGAATGTGTAATATTGGAAAGTTACCAAAAGGAAGCATTTACACACTATCAATGGCACTGACAAACCACGTAAATTACCAAAAAGTGGCCAAAATATGCATAAATAGCCTTTAATGCGTTCGTACTGCAGTAGAAATATAGTTGTAAAGACTGAAAAACCAGTCATTAATCGCATTTAATATGTAAAATATTACTTGAACCTTGAAACTTTTTTACTTTTCCTTACATCTTAGTACATTTTTGTCACGTTTGATTTTATTGAAATATTTTGACTCACCTGGAGGCATGTAGCTTTAAATATGTGGTCAAAATACAGTATTCCTAGAAATTATTACGCGCTTTTAACAATAGGTTAACACTACTGAAAGAAAGTTTTCTTACCATAATTCTGCCAGACATATACCATACACATAATATTCCTAGCGTCTTTCTCAAGATGCAAAATAAAGGACTAGTCCTTATATAGTGCCCTATTATATTACGACAGTAAATCAATATTTGAATGCGCATGCTCATGCGCATTCTCGATAAAGCATGTTGAAACTTAAAATATACCATAATTGCGTTCATTGAACGCCGCCTTTTCTTGTTGATTATCATATTTGATTCAATTGAATTGGAAATCAAACCACACATAGTATTTTAGTTATTGTCTTGTCACATAATTCAGTTCTAAAGTTAGATTTTCATTTTGTCTGAGATTAATATCACTACATAAACATAAGCAAGAAATGAAATGTCGAGTATTGATACCTGAACTGATGAAATGAAGACTATTACGAGTTTAGTGAATGTACAAGTGTTCTTCTTTCTACTAACGAATGTTAAGGTAACACTCGGATATGTAAGTTAAACTTCATATAATATTTCAGCATTCACAAAAAATGATTGAAGGCAAAACTGCTGCATATATTGGTTATCTTTATGGGTTTTCATAACTATAGGTTACTTCATGTGCGTGTTATTGGCATATAAAACTTTCAAAAAATAGAAATATTGGTTTTACTTTGATAGTTGCTAGTTTACACCATGCGAAATGATTATTGCAACATTGCCATTAGCCTAAAGACAAACCAAAATATGTTAAAGCACACATACATACATATGTATATATAAACAATATCATCCCACACGCATTTACCTTTACAGAGAAAGGGCTCACAATTTGGAGTAATTATGCTTAAAAGCAATAACTCGTCAAGCAAAAACAAACAGGTATGAAAGTAGATCCTTATTATTGGAACGAATATGGTAATGTGACTTTCAGTTGTTATAAATTGACTTGTTTGCTTTGTACAAAGTAATAAAGATACTTTATTATTGCACAGCCAACTTCATATATGATAAACAGGTTATAAATAGTTTTAAACTACGTGACTACCTGAAGCAATTCAATCGTTACGATGACAATTTTTTTTTAAATGCAAATTTCGTCGTAAATATTTATAGCATATTTATCATGCATTTGAAAGCATATCAGCTAACGGTAATATTTCTTTAACAAAATGAATGAAAAAGCTAACGTATTCCAGTTTTAACCCTCTTCAGAATATAAAAAATTTAACGATTTTTTTAACGATTTTTTCCATGCAAAAGCTATATCTTATAAACGATTGAACTGATGTAACTATGCTTCATTTTAAATGTTGATCTGAATTTCATGTAATTTTTTTCATTTAAATATATCTGTAGGTTTAAGCTCCTTTACTACCTGAAATAGTCGATTGCTATTTAAAATACGTGTGACGTGTTGTTGCAGTGGTAACGCATATAGTTTTGGACATTTTAAGACATATTCGTTGTATTGAATGTTTTCTATTAACCAAATATAATTTATCCCTAATCATTCATCTGATTAAAGAGCAAGCAATTTTCTGAATTGTTTTCATAGATTGATAAATTGTATATTCATAGCTGAACAAAAACCAAATCATATATGAAAACAATGTACTCAAATACACTGTTATCTGAGAGTGCACAATGCTTAATTCATTACAAACTTTTCAAAATAATGATATAAAGAAAATATGCACCGTCACATTCGAACATTTTTCTTTTTCTTTTTGATTACTGTCAATAAATTTGAAACATCCTTAATCTTTTTAGAATACTATCACACAGTAAACAATGACAAAGAAGGATAGAAAATAAAAAGATGAAAATAATTTTTGAGTGATTTACCAAGTATCATTATATCGTTTACAATTTATTTACAACGGCCATAAGATTTCTACTGACACTTGAGGCAAAGACGTAAGGATAGTCAAAGATAGTCAGGCATCCTTCTGTTCACATACTTTTAAAACTGTTCAAATATTTGCATTTCAATAATTTATGTTATATATGATTCACAAGTGTTATATCTTTACAAAGTTACTCGTTTTGCATAACAAGGTTTTTAATTTATGATTATTTTGAAATATAAACTCCTTCAATTGTAACGCAAAGAAAATTAAGGCTTCGTTATACTTAAAATACAATAGATATGTTTGGAATGTCATCCATACGTTTTATAATTTGCAATCATCATCCTTGAAGTTCATGATTTATTATCAACTTGACTTGGTAAAATAAACCCGAAAATAAATAATCCAGAGTATTGCATAATAACACAACTTTGCTCATCGTTAGCTTGTTGGAATCAAATGACATTTAAAGCTTTCTAATTGTGTGTAAGTCTTTGTTTTGTTTGGGTTAACGGCGCACCAACACAAATTATGTCATATGGCGGGGAAAGAGGAAATATAATTTCAGATAAACTCAGGTTCTTAAAACTTGAAGCAACACATGGTGGCAAAACTACATCACCTGCTTGAGCTAACAAATGCATAGACTCCAATAATTTCAACAAGTTAAGTCGCCTCTTAAAATCTTGAGATAAACGGTGACTGCAATTATGATGCCTCAACGTAAAAAGGCAATCCATTTAACAAGGGAGTTTCATTCTTTAAAATGAAGTAGAATTGAAAAGTGTTAACCTGTCTAAGACAGCAGTTAGAACCATGTTAAAACTCAGTTTGATTGAACCCGGTTTTTATGGCGGCAGTAGTCAATATTACAACCGTCACCGTCTACACCGCTGTTTAAGAAAAAATATAAACACAATTATAAATATATTGGAATTTGTTTGTGAGTATAACAATGATAAAGCATATGTTGCAAAATCTTCTGTCTACAGAAACAAGAGCTTTCATATGACCCTTCTTTCGGACACATAATTCTCAAGACACCTTATGACAACAAATAATTGTAAAGCAGATATAATTATGCTTTGATAGAAACAAATATAACAATGTTCAAGTTTTTATCCCAAATTGTGCAAATGTATTTCCATTGTTTTAATCCAATAAGACCCACATGCAAAGTAGAACATCTTAACAACCTGTCAGGATATTTGGGCTTACCAAATGATCAAATCTGCGAATAATTCAAAATTGAAAATTTTACCAGTTCATGTTAAATTCTGCTTAACCCGGTGTAAGGAGACGTGGATGGTAGCTAGCAATGACTACTACCGTCCATGAACAGGCTCAATCAAACCGTGCCTGCAACATTTTCCATTTTGCCGTGTTGGACTTTCTTTAGGGATTTAGTTTTTCTCCACTTTACATGTTTAAACATTGTTCTTACATATTTTGGCTATGTGACCTAGTTTTTCGCACAAACCTGATTACAGAAATAAAAATCTTTAAACTAATTTTATTGTCAAATTCAGGAAATATTTGAACTGAAATTATTACATGGTGAAGGTTGTGGGGTGTATAATAACTAGACAAAAAGGGATGAAGTTTCCAGATTCGACCTTGAGTGATCAACATTCATATATAGAGCAAACAACAAAAAACAATGTAAAGTCGGAAATGACGTTAACGTAAGCGCAGAACGTCAAGTTATGCAAGTCGCTTTAAATGACACTATCAATACCCGACATACTCGGGACGCAAAATTTAATTAAAAGTTTATTAATTTATCCGTTATTCTAACATTGCAGTTGCTTAAGTATCTTATATAAATTATTATCAATCAATTAAGAAACAGTCATAAATATGTTAAACTATATGATTTACAATATCTAATTCATGTATCACTTTTCCTATGAAATTTTAGATTTATACATTTTGAAGGGGTAACGTTTTACAATTGCATGATTTGTAAGTCCATTTTGATTTCAAATTTAAGCACTTCGTCCATCTTTTCAAGGCACGAGTTCTTCAACCACATCAACTTTCCATAATAAACAGGGAACATCGTCGTGAACCAATACACTCCAAACGGATATCGTCTGACCATTTTTGCCAGTAGTCTTTTAAAGCGGTCAGGTATTCGTGACGCTATCTATCCCGGAAGAGGTTTATTAACTTCGTTTGTATCGTAGCCTGTTTGATAACTGACGAATGATCACTTGGCGTAGGGAATGTACATGTGAGGACATCTTCATAAAGGAATTTGGTTATTCGTCTGCAATTAAGTAAGTGTGATGGTGTAAGTACCTCCGGTTCATCTGAGTTACCAGAACACACATATGTCAACGGTCTATCGTTAATCATTCCCGCGATTTCTGTGATATTAGTCTGTAAAGAATCGCGTTTCGGTATAATCTTCCACTCAGTTCCTCTGTTGTTGAGTTTTCCCTAACTGTAAGTGTGTGAAACAAATCTAGATATTTTAATTGTTTCGAGGCTGATATGAAGGTGTTTGCTCTATCTGACATCATGACTAAAGTGATAGATTGTCTGCTACAGAAATGTCGGAAAACATGTATAAATGGCTCTACTGATAGGTTTGAAAAAAGTTCTAGGTGAACGGCACTCGTTGAAGCACACTTAAACAAGAATTTGTAAGAGTTACTAACGTCCCCCGCCTCGGGGAACTTTTAAATGAAGCATACAATTGTCCATTTCAAAAGATTGAGGTATGGATTTCAGGACTTTTAGTTCAAAATTATGATCAATGCTAGATCTGCAAATGCAACAATAAAGTTACTAAAGAAATACTAGTTAAATGAAAAACGGAATTTAAAATTCTATCATGTTAACCTTTGACCTCTAAGCGTGACCTTAACTTTGGAGGTAGGGGTGCGGGTGTTGTGCATGACATATCGTCTTATTAATATTACTATTTGTGCAAAGCATTTTTAAAATCATTTTAACTATGTAGAAGTTATAGATCAGACACAAAATATACCCTATAACAGACTATGTCAATCTGTGACCTTTAAGTGTGAACTTGGAGGTAGGGACCCATGTTTTGCGCCTGACATATTATCTTATTCTTGTGATAATTTGTGCAAAGTATTTTTAAAATCCCAGATTATGGACTTGACACAAAATATACCCTATAACAGACTATAAAAATCTTTGACCTCTATGTGTGACCTTGACCTTGGAGGTAGGGACACATGTGTTATGCATGACACATCATCTTATCATTGTGAATATTTGTGCGTAGTTATTTCAAAATCCTGAAGAAGTTCTAGATCA